TCAGTCAATGCGCTGTAAGTTATTTTTTCACCACAGAAGCTGCCGAAGTGAAGCGAGCAGGAGGAAACGAGAAAATAGCAAGATTTGATCGCAGCGTTCAATCGATCGTAACATGAAATATTCCTTGAACAAGGGACTCAATGGAGCCTGTTTAAGTCTTCTCTGCTTCTCGCATGGCTTCAACGACTTGATATGTTATCTGTCTGGACTCTTTTAGCCAAACGGGTGCAGAAAGTTCCATGAAAATGAAGCAAATCGCATGGAAAAGCACAATCACTTTGGCCTTCAGAAGTACTGTTGTGATATAATTTATTCAGCCAATCTCTAAATATAGCTCAAGCATAATATCATCTCGCCACCTGAAAGCGCATGCGTATGTGTGAAAACCTGTGAAATTTAGGCAAAGGACAGAGAAGCAACACCACAAGTGATAGGAGAGGCGACTGGATCAATATATAAGCTTGCAGAATTATTATATTTATCAGCGAGCAAATTAAGGTGCTTTTGGATGTGAGGCTGGCCCCCTCTGATTCCTGATACGGCACGTACAGGTGTTTGTCAGGGGTATGGGGTGAGGCCGTCCACGGCGACAACCCCGGATGAACCCGCCCTGGCCCAGTGGAGACTGGGGGGTGCTCAGAGGTCCCTTGGGATCTCAAACCTTGTTCCCAGAGGTAAAATGGGAATCGACAGCCACCTTGTCAGCAGCGGGAAAGTCCTAGCCGGGGCTAGGCAAGAACAGCCAATGAGCACCCCCTGACAGGGCTTTTGCCCTTTTGTGTGACACAATCATCTGTTTTTAATAAGACTTAGAGATAGTTTTCGCTCAAAATTTAGTTCAAATTTGTGCTGTACTCCGCAAGTTTTTTTCTATATTCTTCCCAAACCTGGTTTCTTATTTTTTCAATATCTGGCTGGATTGGATTTGTTTGTTTTTGCGCAAAGTTTGAGCGTAAAGTCTCTTTAAAATGGTGATATTTCTGCATTTCACATGTGATCAGTTGNATTTTTTCAATATCTGGCTGGATTGGATTTGTTTGTTTTTGCGCAAAGTTTGAGCGTAAAGTCTCTTTAAAATGGTGATATTTCTGCATTTCACATGTGATCAGTTGAAACTCCATGTCAGAAACACGATTATCATTCAGAGCTTGTGAGACAGAGATGTTTATCGAGTCATGTTTTGCAATAGCCAGAGAATGGATTCTCGAGTGCTTATTAACTTTGCGTTCAAGTTTCTTGTTGACAACGGACAGGCCAGTGGAAACTGCGCCAGATAAAGCTGCTATCCCAGCAACAGGCGTGCCGATAACAATTCCAACACCAGTGAGTGATGTTGCAACAGCCCCAGAAGACAGAGCTGCCGTGACAGCACAAAGGCCAACCATGGAATAGTGAATTGCTTTCCGGGCTTTTTTATATTTTTTCAACACAAGCCTGTAATGCTCAACCTTAGCAGACATTTCTTTTTCAATTTTACTTATCTCAGTTAGCTGGAAATTCTCGGCATTTGTCGTTCGGGAAGGCTTGGATAGATTCTTCTTTCATTCTCAGCAGGCGGCACGCTTGGAGGTAACAGATTTGCCGAAGACATTGTGTATATAAAGAAATTTAATTTAACTCTAATTCAAAAAGAAGCGGGAAGCCCTTGAAATCAAAGAGTTTACCATTTTCATCTTTGACGCTAATAGTGACGCTATTTATAAACTCGCCTGTAGAGCAGTCTCGCAAAACCTGTTGCGGAGAACCATGGTAGCTCACCTTTTCATAAGGCTTCCCTTTCACATCAAACAGGGCTAAGACATCTGTCTTTTTGCCATTGAACAGATTCTGCTCTGTGTCGATCAAATCACAATGAATGAAATATGTCGTTGGATATGTAAGCCGTTTTACAAAGGTTATAAGCGACGACTTTCGCCCAATACCAAGCAAATTGGCCAAATCGCGATCAAGTTCAATTGGTTTTGCCCCAGCCCCAAAATTTCTGATTACAAGCTGGCCAACAGGTTGGTTTCTTGCTGTTTGCAACTCTTTATATTGATATTTGGCGAACAGACCGTCTATTTCTTTTGCCAATCTTTCTAAACTATAATGCCCTGGGAGTAATTTACTAA